TAAGCCTTAAGAAGCCTGGAAGCACGTGCTTTTGTGTTCTTGGGCACCCCGAGAAGTCCAGCTACTCTCATGAGAAACGATTCCCCCAAAGGCGGCTCTCTGGAGAGGGTGGGAACTGCAGAATATATGGGAAAGTAGAGAAGCCCCGCCCAGCTGCCTCCCCCAAGCCTGCAGGGACCACTGGTCAGACCAGCAAAAGAACCTCCCAGACAAGCCCAGCCAACAAACTGTGAGAAATCATAATAAAATCATAAAATGTTGCTCTACACTACTAAGTTTTGGGGTGGCTTTATACGGCAATAGATACAAGAGGTCTTCTCTGGGACAAGTGACATACAGAAAGCGAAAGCTTTGAGCAGACACGGGCTCAGACCTACCGCTGTGGTTGTAAGGCCCAGCTCGTTGGTCACGGACTGAATAAAAGAACCAATGGGCTGCAGGACGCAGGGCAGGCATCTCCGACAAGCCGATAATGTATAAAAATAGCATCCAGCCTGGCACATGGTAAGCACTCAGAAATGCTTGAGTTCCTCCATGCACTCTTTGTTATTTTAATTGATTGGAGAGAAAGAGAGAGAAAGGAGAGAACCATCGATTTGTTGTTCCACTTATCTATGCATTCACTGGCTGATTCTTGCAGGTGCCCTGACTAGTGATCGGACCTGCAACCTTGGCGTATCAGGATGACGCTCCAACCAATTGCGCTCCCCGGCTAGGGCCCCATGCACTCTTGAAGCGGTGCGTGAACATGAACACTCCTATTCAGAGGCACCAGAGCAGTGGTTCTCAACCGCCCTGATGCCGCGACCTTTAACCCAGTTCCTCATGTTGTGCTGACCCCGAACCAGAAAATTATTTTCATTGCTACTTCTTAACTGTAATTTTGCTACTGTTATGTCTTAGGCGACCCCTGTGAAAGGGTCGTTTGACCCCCAAAGGGGTCGCCACCCACAGGTTGAGAACTGCTCACTAGGGTGAAACAGTTAAGATTAATCTGGAACCAAACAGCCTGGGCTCAAATCCTGGCTCTGACAATCACAGATTGTGTGTCCACAGACAGCCTACTTGACTCTTTGGTGCCTCAGTTTCCTCATCCGAGAGTGAGGACAACAGTGCTGCCTTCACAGGGCCGTCGGGATTAAATGAGTTACGTGGTAAGGGCTGAGCAGGTGCCCCGCACGTGGCAGGGACTAGGTAACTGCTAAGGTCTTCGCTGGTCCACCTCGTGGAGTCAGGCAGTTACATTAACCTCTACGTTCCAATAGTCACAGTATCTACCTTCAAAGATTTAAAACTGATAAGTTATTAATCAGGAGAATTAAATGTCATTTTTAGTCTCTCTTCTCTTTTCTTCTGGATTTCTCCCCAAATATAGTCAGATCAAAACTCACTATTCTTTGGGGAAAAATTCTGGAAAAGTTAGCAACTCATTGTGAGAACAGAGCCAAAAGAAGTGACAAGTGATGTGTGTGCAGAATTACCACTCAGACGCTGAGACCCCAGGGCCGTGGAGAGCACGGGGCAGGTGTGACCCACAGGAAGGCGGCATTCTGTGCAGTCTGCACAGGTCCCTTCACCTTTGGCTTGGGGACCCTCCACTGTAAAGCGTGACACCACTGCATCACCTGCCCCACACCTGATGGCAGGAGGAATAAATGAGATGGAACATCCCCAAAAGCTCTGTCACCTCTAAGGCTCTGGGCAAAGGTTAGGAAGTCTCTTTATACAACAATAACCTTTTACATTTCTGAACGTCTTCAAATAAGCCACGACTCCATTCCTGCCGACAAGCAGCGCCCTGCGAGGACCTTTTATGAGAGCTAACAAGAAGCAGATTTTCTTTAAGAACTAAAGAATCGGCGCTCTTTGGACAACCTTCAAAAATAGCCCAGTCCACTCAATAAAATCATCTTTGAAAACAAAACAAAAAAAGAACTGCCCATCGCCTTGCACCTCCGCCCAACAGGCCGCGGCTGCGGGAAGACTTGGCATAAAGGGTGCGTGGCAGGGCCTGTGACCCCTGTTGGGTCTGGGAGGACCAGCTATTCCGACCCAGGACTCACTCTTTGTCTGTTCTGATTCCCCTCCCCTCTGTCTGTTTCTACACCTCACAAAAGGCCTCAGAAGTTATATTTCTGGCTCAGTGACTTTCCAGCCACCGCTGGGTTGGACCAGATTTAGCCCAGGGATCGGCGGGTGACTGAGCCCATGCAGTGCCAGCAGGGAGATGCCAGGCCTGCGCCAGCGCCTGACGACGGCCGTCCTGGGCTGCAGGCGCTGCCGGGGGGATTATCTGTGACAGAGGGTCTCTCCTTCTGCAGCCTTCCTCTGCCCCATACACAACCAGGGTCTCCACGTGAGGGACAAGGGGGCTTATGGCAGTGCGGGGCGGGGACAAAGGGCCCTGGACGGGAGCTGAAAGGAAGACACTGGCACCACCTGGACATGCTCGCCCCCCAGGCTGCTGGAAACAGGAGCTCCTGGGTCCCCCGGGTTGACGGCTCCAGGGTCAGCAGCCAGGCCCACAGGTTGCTGAGGACAACCACAGGGGCTCTGCAGCCAGCCTGCGGGTCGGCAGTGCCACCAGCGCAGCCTCTTCCACCCAGGTCAGCCCTGGCTGGCACAGCTCCGGGCGAGGTACCAGGACTACTGCCAATTTCCTGAGCATTCCACAGGCACACTGCCCTGGGCTGCCCTGCTTGCCCCCCTCATCCAGTCTGAGAAGGAGGAGCGATGGGAGCCCTGGAGGGGAGGTCAGCCCCACCACCCCAACTCCCTACGGTGAGAAGCCTTCCTTCCCTTTCTCACCTCCGCAGGTGGATTCACTAGGTAGGGCCGAGGCCCAAACACAAAACCACAGCGGCCTCACCACCAGTGTTTTAGCTGCTTATGTTCACAAAACCCCAAATACCACTCACCTCTACTGGGATGAGAGCAGGACTCCCTCTGCCCCGTCGCCCTCCCTCAAAGCCTGTCCTGTCCGCAGGCAGACGCCCTCCCACGGGGCTTTACTGCCGCCACTGCCGGGAAGCCCTCATCCTGTGCCGCACCCCCAGGCCGCGGCCCGTCAGCACCGTCCACAGCGCAGCGACCCTTCTCGGGGACGTGAGCCCCGGGAGTTCAGGAACACTCGCAAGGCAGCTGCCCGAGTCTCAGGGCCCCAGCCTGGGCTCTGCACAGCACACGTCTAAGACGAGTCTCCACTCACTCCTGACGGGAAGCACGGGGAAAGCGAGCCGAGAGGAACAAGCCGCAGTGACCTCCTTGCCTTCGGAGCCCCACAGGCGTCTGAGGACTTGGACGCCGAACATTACTGTACCGAGCATGTGGATCAGACACCGATGCCCTCCGAGGATGGGCCAGGGTCGCCGCAGCCTTGAACACCGACCACCCAGCCCAAGATGCTGCAAGCTGAGCCTGAGGAGTGGAAGAGTTTAGCAGTGTGACCTGACTGCACATGGGGCTGGGCCATGTCCCTGGGCCCCAGCCAGAAACAGGACAAAGCCCGTTGTTCTGATACCCACCAAGGTGCCCTTTGGCAGCTCGACACCACAGCAGTGATGGCTGCAATTAATTACGTGACGACTGCCCTGGCCAGATTGGCTCAGTGGTTATAGTGTCGGCCCGTGGTCCAGAGACCTGGGTTCGGTTCCCACTAAGGGCACGTACCTTGGTTGCAGTTTGACCCCGGCCCCGGTTGGGGTCGGGTAGGTGGTAACCACTCAATATGTCTCTCTGATGTCGATGTTTCTCTCTCTCTTTCCCTCCCTCTCTCCCTCTTGTTCTGTCTGAAGATGAATGCAAAAGTGTCCTCAGGTGAGGATAAAATAATAATAATAACAACAACTACGTGACGACTAGGTGCCAAGCAGGTGACACATATCGGCTGATGAGGCTGGAGAGCCCAGTTTGAGGGCAGTCAGACACCCCAGGTGATTCATTCAGGGGTAACCGTGGGACTGCCAGCAGTGTCCACGCTCAAGGCCTGGCACCACGCCTGCAATGAGACCAGCCCCTGTCCTGAGGGAGCCATGGTTCGTGGAAGAAAACAGACAGAAAGCAGACCAGTAAACACAAAGTGGGAGATGCCATCATGAGGACATTAACTCAGGCCCTGCGTCAGGACATCTGGGCGAATCCTAACAAAGCCAGCCATGTTGCTGTACAAATTACTTAAATTCCCCAAACGCCCATTTACTCATCTGTAACAGAGAGATTAATAACGCCTAAATTAAAGAGTTTCGTGAAGAATAAACACGGCAATTTGCATCAAGTGCTTACCTTGGGATGAATAAAAATAAAATTAAATGAATGATTATTACTGCTTTTTTAGTTAAGCACAAAATAGTTAGGTTTTATGCACAGACTTAAAGCATGGCATCGCAATGCATTTCTAACTTGTTCTCATGTATACATCTTCAAAACACCCAACCCTCACAAGTTTGAGGTCTCGCCTGCACCAATTCTTTACTGCAGGGTCACTAGGGTGACTATGTAATCTACTGCCCAACCCAGGGTACCTCTGAGAGTGGACAAAACAGGAACAATTAGTAATTCCAATGGGACGACAGGGTAAACCAGATGTACCATTTTGAGCAAATGAAGTTGCTGATTGCTCTTAGTTCATTATTCATAGGCCAAGTTCAGGGGCAAGGTCAGCAGCCATCACTATACATCCTTTCTCCCTTTCGCCTTCTTTTCTGGGAGGTGCCAACAACACTGAGAGTGGGCCCAACTAAACTCCGACCTGGATAGGAATCAGCAACTGCACACCCCCCATCAGGAAGTCAGGACGGTCAATGTACATGAACTCTCCACCACACACATACACGCACATGCACACACACACGTACACGCACCACACAAGTACGCACACACATTCATGCAAGCACACACACAGCTCTTCTCAAAACCTGAGTCAGGGTCAGACCCTGGTCCTGGCACTTGGCACCTGTCATCACCCCTCACTTGCTGAAGACCTCATGAACGCCCCCCATTACCTGAGGTGTCCCAAGCTGTAGAAGCGGGACTCGCCGTCGGTGGAGCGGACCACCTGCAGCGTGAACGTGGGCTGCAGCTGCCTGAGCTCCAGCAGGACGATGGCCAGGTAGTGGATGAAGAGGAGCGCATCCACAAGCGAGACTGCGTATTGCACAATGCCCTGGTAGTTCCGGTCCCGAGAGTCCAGAATTCGGACCCCGTAAAAAAGCCAATAGGAAACCACAAAGAGAAAGATGAGGACCAACAAAAGGGCACGGAACACAAACACCCGTGGCATGTCAGCTCTCTGCTTTCGGAAGAAGAGTGCCCAGGTCCCGATGAGCAGAATGACGAGTTTGAAGGCCACGGAGATGAAGAGTCCCTCGCAGATGGTGCCGCAGGGCTCCAGCTCGTCCCGCCACAGGATGGGGGGTAACAGGATGAAGGCGACGGGGGTGAGGAAAACTAGAAGTCCAAGCACCGCAGCGACGGTGAGGCCCAGGTAGCGCTTACAGTCCAGTCCCACACTGTCCTCCATGTCCTTGCTGATCCTGGCAATGTCCTCCTGTGATATGCTGTGCTCCGAGGTGCCTGTGATGGCCGTGGTGGTCTCTCCCCAGTTGTCATCCTGATGGGGAGTAAACAATAAGGATGAAGGGCCACACGCATCAGGCCATTTGTAAAAGCCACAAAGCAAGCCTTGGAGCCACGGTGGACCAGAGGCCCCACCCTGTTGAACAGACCCACCCACATGGGCTTCCTTGGAAATGGAAGCTTAACTCGTTAAATACAGGAAGTTCTAAACTTTACTAATTTTCACTGACATTTTTCAAAATGTATTATCTATTTACCTTTATAAGCAGAGAGAATCTAATCTGAGCTTTTTGTTTGTATATCTGGGTGGATTCATTAGTGATCTTGATTATCATTCCCAGGGTTGGAATCCCTTGAGAGGCTTGGAGGGGCCTGAGCTATGCATCCTGCACGAAACCATCCTGTTGTTAGACTGACACAGGAGAGCTCACCTGCGGGGTAAGAGGACACCCTCCGCTTCCTTCTCAGCTCAGGCCTGGGTCATAAAGGCTTCGAGTCCAGCTTCTGGGAGTGCCCCCCAGCAGCCCGAGCAGCAAATGGCACAGTGAGAGAACTTACCTTGGAAAGTCAAAGCTCACCACAGCTAGGAGCTACCTGCTTTGAAGCCCCATGTAATAAACACCAGTGTCGAGCATTCCTTGATGTTTCTCACTGAACACACTAAGCCGATTCAAGTGTCTACGGCCAGGGCAGCTAAAAACTCCTCCCACAATACACGTTCTCAGGGCAAATTAAACATCAAGGGCATGGAAATACCAGGACTATTATAACACGTTTGTCTTTTACTCTCTTGCTTTCTCTTTTATAACTTTGAGACAATTTCTAGTTAGAGCAATTAGTCTCTTCAATGAACGAGACCCAGTTGTTAGGATTTTAAACAATTTGGTTATTTCCCTGGGAACTCGGACTCTGCTCCAAAACTACGGCAGAGCGAGGCAGCAACGAAAAGCCCTGTGGAGTCCAGAGAGGGTGGGCCTCAGAGACTTGTAGATATGTTTAACTTGGAGAAAAGTCAGATGGAGGGGTCAAGTGGGTGAAGTTAACGTGTAAGACACCAACTTAGAAAAATCTAGTGTAATGGCTGAACCAGTAAGATAGAGATCTCATAACCAAACAATAACCTCAAATCTAGTAAGGATGAAAAATATGATTTACGAAATGTAAAGGCTAGGAGAAGGAGCGGCGGTGGTGGCAAAGGTCTTGACCTGTGAAGAAACAGTCCCTCGGCCTGGAAAGCCACAGGTGCCACATGCCACAAGGGAAGTGACTGAGACAAGAGAAGCAGCCAGGTTCTCCAGCACTGCTGGTGGGAGTACGAGACGTACAACCTCTGGAAACGTCGCCTGGCAGGTCCGTTTAAATGCATGCTAACTGTATGGCCCAGCAATTCCGCTTCCAGGTCTTTATCAAAATAAATGAAAACATATGTCCACGAAAGACTTGTGTGAGAACGCTCTTAACAGTTTTATTCATCATAGCCAAAAAATGGTGCAACCCAAATGTCTGTCGATCAGGAGAATGCATAACAAATTGTGGTACATTATACAACAGAACACTACTCAGCAAAAATACCAGAGTGAACTGCGGAAACACACCACAGCATAGCTAAATCTCCCAATCACTATGCTGAGTGAAAAAAAGTCCAAATCAAAAGAATATGAGTCCAATTACATTAAATTCTAAAACAGGCAAGACTAATCTACAGTGATAGAAATTGAAACAAGGCTTGCCTTGGAGAGGTGGGGGTGGGGGCCAGGGGTTGACTGGGAAGAAAATGAGAGAACTTTCTAGAGTAATATATGTGTGTGTGTGTGTGTGTGTGTGTGTGTGTGTGTGTACACACACATATATATGAGAATGAGGTATAAGGGTTTATTCAGCTCTTAAAATTTATCAAACTGTATACTTTAATCTGTTCATTTCTCTGTGTGTAAATTTACTTCAACTTTTACAAAGGAAAAAAATGACAAGCAGGAGAAGAAACAGCCACAAAGTCAAAGATGGCAACTTGCTTTAATATAAGGTGAGATCACAGGCTACCTAAAGTAATCGGCTTTGTAAAACTCTTTGTGAAGGCAGTACTGGAGTCCGTGTTTCGCATCGTGCCTAATATTCAGCTGACAATAATGCTCAATCATTGTTAGTATCTTGTGGTCACTTTGTTGACTACCACACTTCTCTGATCTAGCTTCTCACCTTTTTTCCTGCTAGAAAGTCGCTAACTAATCCTGTCCATTTTAAGAACATGTGTACCTCTGTGCCTAAAAAATGTTGATGTCCAAAGGCTTGAGGTTCTTAGAACAGAAAGGATCTAAGATCCTCTAATCCAAGTCCCTAGATTTTCAATGAAGAAACAGGCCTTGCCCTGGCCAGTGTAGTACAGTGGTTAGTGTTGGCCCATGCATCAAAGGGTCACAGGTTCGATTCCCAGTCAAGGGCACGTACCTGGGTTGCAGGTTCGAACCCTAGCTCCAGTAGTGATGCATGTGGGCATGTGGGAGGCAACCAATCGACGTGTCTCTCTCACATCAACATTTCTCTCTCTCCCTCTCTCTCTCTCTCTCTCTCTCCCTCCCCTCCACTCTATCTAAAAATCACTGGAAAAAAATATCCTCAGGTGAGGATTAACAAAAAAGAAAGAAACTGAGGCTCACCAAGGTGGTAACTGCATTTCAATGCTTTGCTCATCACATCAACCGCTTCCCAATGTGGCTACAAAATGTGGAGCAGCTGCAAAGAAGAACCACCTTCCCATGGCCACCCCTAGGTCTACATCTAGAAGGAGCCCCTGCGGCACTTAGGGTGTCCCTTCTCAGGACTGGCCCCACCCATCCAACCATCCCTCCGGCCCTCCAGAGCCACGGCAGGCAGGGAAAGAGAAGGACTACGGACATTTCTTCATCACCGGACAAACCCCACACTCCCAACGCTGCAGCTGCGGGTTCCAGGAGCGCCTTGTGTGCTCTGAGGAATTCTCACCGCAGTCCGTTTATCTGCTCAGAAACGCCCATCTGTGCAGCCCCGTGGGCACACAGAGCTGTACCCAGTCCTGCTGCGTTACAGCTGTGTGCACACACTGGTTTATTTGGGGCCACGGCTGCACAGCATGTATTTCAAGAGCAGTGGAAGGTATGCAAACGGTTCTGAGTGTTTTAAATTAGGTGGCCTGCCAGAGAGAAGATCCCACACAATGTTTTTAAGAATTCATAAATTACCAATACAGGTGACCCTTGAACAACATGTAGGTTAGGGACACTGACCTCCCCATCCCCCAGCACAGTCGAAATCTGCATATAACTTTGACTCCCCAAAAACGTAACTACAAATAGCCTACTGTTGACCAGAAGGAAGCCTTATCAATAACCTAACTGGTTGAATAACACACATTTTGTATGTTATATGTATAACATACTGTTTTCTCATAGTAAAGTCAGCTAGAGAAACTATTATGTAAAAAATCGTAAGGATGAGAAAATACATTTACAGGACTATAATGCAAACAATGGGCCCACGTTGTTCAAGGATTCGCTGTACTTAAAAAACGAAGCGATTTCACATAAAATCCCAATTTCCAGATTTTCTTAAATACTGCGAGTCCCAGGAGCATGCGCAGGGGCTGGAGCTAGGGGCCGCTGCTCCCGGGAAGGACGTGCTCCCCGCGGTGACACAGACCGTCCCTCCGGCCCGGCCCCACCATGGTGCTGCAGGTTGCCGTTCATCCCCAGCCTGTCTCACATCCTTTTGCCTATTTTGTGTCCCGGGCCTATTTCATTCATCTATGTTTCCCTTCGAGGCACCGAAGTGTGAGCAGTGATGCTCACGGGGGGTGGGGGTGGGGGCTGTCCTAACCACCCTGCTCTTCTCCTCACGTGACTCGTGACTCGGGGTTTCTGGAAGGAGGGTCCTTCCCTCTTTCATCCTGCTCCCCCTGCGGTGAGTCTCCAGAGACTGCAGCCCACAACTCTTCCCTTCTCTGCCCTGATGGTCGGCTCCTTTTCCACACCATTCAAAGCAGGCCCACCAATCACACGTCGGGAGACTCCGCAAGCTAGCCAATGGCAGGACACGCAGTCCTTCGACCAACAAGAAACCACAGGACATAGATAAACTAATTAACATGCTAGAAAAATAAAGATAAAAACCCAAGAGAACCTATTGCAACAAGACTTAGAAAAACATTTACCGAAAGGAGTCTTGATCAAGGGACCGTGTGCTTACAGACTGCCTTTGATCCTTACCTGAACTTCCTCCGTCCGGGTGGAATCATTTGCCAACAGGGGTTCTCCGGTGGGAGCCTGGATGGTGACGGCTCTTTCTGACCCTCGGCCATCTTTACTCCGGGGTGACTTGTGTCTCTCTCTATTTCTTTCACTGAAAAAGAAAGATAATCAGCTAGCACATTTATCCTATGTGAATTAACTCTCATCAAAATATACTGTAAATTTCATTTTGAATTTAGGAAAATTACACACACACACACACTGCCAATACTCTACTGTAACTCCATCAACAGGGACCATGATTTTTCAAAGCTTAAAACTGCAAATGTTAGAATTTGTGTAGCTAAGGCATATTGTTATTATAAAATGATTGCCTTGATTTGGTTATAATTTGACTACACTTATTTTCTAGAACAACATTTTTATTGGGACAACATTGCAAAATAGTCAGGCTCTGGTCAGCCCCAAAAAATCTGGGACAGACTGTCACCCTACACCTCTGGGCAAGAAGAAAGGAAATTCTAAACCAGCACAGAGAAGCGTTTACTTCTCATTCCTACAAATTCAAACTAAAAGTCATTCCCACAGGTTCTAGCTGAACTCAAAGACACCCACAGAAACAAACAAAGCTAGGACAAATGACACCAAGGTGTGTGCATGTACGTGTGTGTGTGTGTGTGTGCTCCAAAGGAAAGCAGGCTGCAGTATAACATTAATCCTGGGTGGTCTTTCAGGGTGACTGAGGGAGCACCCTGCTGTGGGTCAATCTTGAAATTGCAAAAGGAATCAATCGCTGCATTTTAAAGCTCAGAGGTCATACCTTGGGCATCAACCACCCATGGGAACTGGCACTCCTGCCCCCACTGTCAACAGTCAACACAACCAAAGGAGCCATGAGTAAGTTCCCTCAACCTCCTGTCCCTCAGGCCGCCTTGACATCAGTCCTTCCTTCAACCACTGTCCTCACTCCCAAGTCTCCCAGGAGGGCAGAAGCACTACACCCATCAGCTTTGGGGACAAACTATCAGATCTCAGTTCTGCGCCTACTAGACGTGTGGTCTTGCACAAGTTATCAACCTCTGAAAACCTCAGCTTCCTCATCTGTGAAATGGGGATAATGACAATGCCACATAGATTCTACATGTAAAGCTCAGTACAGGGGTGAGGAATAAGTACTCGATACACAGTAGCTATTATTATTACTGCTATTACTCTCAGTCAAAGGCACAGATGCCGACAACTCTGTGAAGCAGAGTATGTATGCGTTGCAGAAAGAGATGAAAATGGAGCTATCAACACACCATCGCACCCCTTCCTTCCCTCCCTTCCATAGCATATCTCTTACTAACTACTTCTTAGCTAACGAAAACACATGCAGACTTGCTGCTTCAAACGCCTACCTTATCAGTACCTCCTTAGGATAAGCATGGGTAAGTCCTTCAAAGAGCTGGAGGCTTCTGACTCTTTCAGTGACAGCAACTCAAATCTCTAAATAACTTATCATTACCATCTATTGTAGACCAGTCTAGACACTTGTATTCTGGTCAACTCGGTGCTTTATTTTAACCAGGCGGCCAGGGAAAAAGCCAAGAGATCTGAGAGGTCAATGCCCATCACCTCACTCCACGCCCCATCCCAATTCTTAGAGCACTTTACTAAGTGCTTTATTGCATTACTTTCATTCAACCCCAACAAGAATCTTATAAGGCCAGTATTACTGTCCCCATTTTACAGGTGAGGAAACTAAGGCTCAAAGAAGCTAAGTGACTTCCCAAGGTTACAGTAAGTGGCAGAGCAGGACCTGAACCCAGGTCTGCTTCCACCACCTTGGCCGATACCCACTGAGCGGCACTGACTTGGGAAGCCGTCGGCAGGTTTTGCAGCATAAATATTCCCACTGCTCGTCCTCACACACTCTACACCTGATGAACCGCTACACTTGTGAAACACGCCTCTGAAGCTACTGCGAGGAGTCACGGCTGGGCTGCCAAAAACAATCACAAAAAGGATTCACTCGGGGGAGATTTCCCATGTGCCAGAGGGAACTGTTCAGGCAAAGTCCAGAGCTGCTGCTCCCTAGGGCCCCCGCCCCACCCCCAGCCAGACCCCGGAGCCTCCTCTTTGATTTTACTCTGGCTTCCCTTTCCCCACCTGCTCTCATCTCTGACATTCTCTGCCGTCAGCCAAGTCACATGCTCCCCTAACCCATCTATCTAGTCACTAGTCCCATGGGTCAAGTCCTGTGACAGCACAAATTCCACTGGAAATCAAAATTCTTTCACTGAGTGCCAGTTCCTGAGCCTGAATACTGCCAGACAACGCAGGCGGGGAACCACCCAGGGCCGAAAACAGCCTCTCTAGGACCCGCCATCACTCCAACCCCCACCCACCCAGCCTGGCTTGTAAAGGGCCCAGCAGCACCCAAAGGAGAAGCCACCGTCTATCAGTTCCTCTGGTAACATCTGAGGTGAACCAGATAAGAGCCCATTATCTGATAACCGGGAAGGTGTCTCATCCCCAGAGCCAGAAACCCTAAACCAGTGCCTCTCACACCTGAGTGTGCAGAGACAACACCCGGGGTGTGGGTTTGGGCGCAGACTCACTGGCGCCACCCTCAGAGAATTCCCTTGGAAGGGAGACAACAGGAATCTGAATTTTCCGCCAGCACCCAGGTGACCCCGGAAACGGTCCCCAAGGCTCTACCACCCAAATGCCCCTGGGGGGGCTGCGGGACTGACTGCTCAGAAGTAGCCCGTATGTGACCTCCTGTATACAGCAGAGGCTCGCTCACCGGAGCCGCAGGTGTGATACTCAGCTACAAAGTTGCACTGTCCAGTGACTTCTCTATTAAACTAGCATTCAGTGGATGGGGCCGGGAGAAAAGCTCAGGGCAGCGTGCATCAGGACAGAGGGACGCCCGGAAGCGAACTCCTACAGTCAAATGAGGGATGGGTGTAAAGATCATCCCGTCGACTCAACGTGGGCTGTGTGCTGCGCTGGTCCTCGTCGAGGGAGCAAGAACCAGACGGGGCTTTCACAAAAAGCACTGGTCCCGAATGACTGCTCCGGGAAGGTCTCTGAGCCAGTACTAAATAGAAAAGTCCAGCGAAAGTACTGCTGGTCAGGGCTTTCCAGTTTACAGGGCTGCGAGCCACAGTGCGGCTGCCCCAGTTCAACAGGCCCCCAAACATGCATCCCAGGGACTCCCAATGCTGCAACTCCAAGGAACTGCCAAGTGCCCTCTGGGGAGGGCTTCCGATGGGGAAGACCACCAGAGGAGACAAACAGGAGACCAGGGAGTGAGGCGACCCAAACACCGATAGAAACACATGCACACTTGGGTGTTTTCCAGCTCAGCCTGAGTGGGCTAGATCACCTGTGCACCTTGGCTGGACAGGTGTGTCAGCCACAGGAATCCTGGTATCTTTATCTCTGAGTCTGTTTCCACGCAGCATCTGCCTGTATGCGTCAAGATAAGTGTGTTTGCGCACGTGTGTGCAGAGCAGGTAGAGGCACGCAGGGGGCCTGCATGTGCCTGGACCTGTGTGTGTGTGTAAACGTGTCTACTGAGGCGATTCCAGAGCTGGGCCCCTGGCGGCAGCGCAAACCCCCTCTGGCCCCAGCCAGAATCCCCGTCGAGTCCCACAAGGGTCCCACTTGCAGCCGGCATTTCCTGGGAAGATGATTTGGCTCCGTATCTGCTGTTTGCTCTTTCTATTTGGGGAAAGCTGGCCCCACCGGGAACTCCTCCCTTTCCTTCTCCACCACCACCCACTACCTGCCCTTTCTGTGTGCCGACTGCCGACTGCTGGGGCCTGGCTGCGGCTTCCTCTCGCTGGCTCTGGGCGCCTGGAACAACCCCCACCGCTCAGGCAGCCTTTCGGACAATGCATGTTAGCATATTAATCACGAGTTACCCTTCATTTCCTCTTCTTTTTTTTTCCCCTGCCAGTTACTCCTGCACAGCCCAGGGAAAACCGCGGTCTTCCAAAGGACCAACAAATGGGCCTGAAACGTGCCAAGGGTACCTACTGGCCTTGTAACCTCAGGCAAATCATGGTGCCGCAGGGCCTTAGTCTTAGCACCTGGGGGGTGGGGGCACCACCGCCCACCGTCCTAGGACAGCTGTGAGGACACAGGATGCGGGCCAAGGGTCCCAGTGGGCCCTCTCCACACGGTCCTTAGCAGGGCTGGCCGCTGCTTACTGAACTCAGGGACTGTGCTCCAACCCCAAGGTGAGGCGAGGTCTGCGAAGCCTGCACCGTCTTCCCAGCATGTTACCTGGACGCCCTCTGGAGATGGCAGACATCACAGAACCAGAGCACTAACCTCTTTGCTAGAAAAAAGCCACCTGTCATCTGTTGGAACCCAGCCCATCCTCCAAAGATGACCACGGAGCCCTTGGGCATATCAAGTTTGGCACACTTCAGTATTCCTCTCCGAGTCGGAGTTCTACTAAAATTACCAAAAGGGCAAGTTCCCTCCCTCCCCTTTCCTACACTTCCATTCAAATTCCCCACGAACCCTGAGCAGAGCGGCCTTCACAGGGACACTCCTGGGTGACACAGACTCGCGGCTGGATCAAGGGCCTGCTCAGCCGCCAGTGGAGGGATACTCTTACTGCTTCATATTCTTTGTCCTGACAAAGGACCACAACCTCTGCCCCAGTGACAGAGCCCACAGGGCCCTCGGACAGAGTTCGCCACACGCGGGTGGCGCTTTTTTCTAAAGAGCCAGGAGTGCACCATAAATCTTTAATGGCCATCCCTTCACCCAGAGCTTTCCTGAGCAGGCGTTCAGTAACATTCCTTGATTAATTTATTAAAAGTCTCAGCTTGTGTTATCATTTGCTAAGTACTTTCCACATGGGTCCTAGAGGCACCGAGGGTGCTGCATGCTGCTTTAATTGAAAGTTATAGTCTCTTAAAGTTTCCACAAGGGCACTGCAGTCCGGTATCAATTTCTGGGGCCCCAGGAGGCCCGAGGAAACAGCAGAGCAGGGGCCCTGAAGCGTGACAGTCAGGACACGCGTGTAGATAAAAGACACCGGAGACGGTCCCTACTCAGAACACGGCAAGGTGTCCTCATTCATCTGCAAACACCAGGAGCCCCCACCCCCGACTCCCAGCATGCGCTGTGGGAACGGGCCGCCTGGCACACTGACAGGAACTGCTTTTTCCAGACAGGTCCAAAGATTGGCTGTTTTGAAAGAGCTGTTTCTGGTATTTTATAACATAATTAGATATGTTTACCCACTGGTTGAAGTTTGTGACATCGGAGCCTAACCTGGGCTCCAACACAAGCTCACTTAGTTCTTTCCCCCATATATTTATTATTATAACAGCAATGCATGACAACTCAGAAAATTATGCAAGTTTAAAAAAAGTCACCCATAATCCTAATAATCCCAGAAACAGATTCAGATCCCTAATAACTCAGAGACAGACAAGATCAATATGTTGCCCTTCATCTTTTCATAAGAATACAGAGCTGTGATACACAGAGTCATGAATCTTATTTTTTATAACATGGCTTCACAAACGTGTGTTCATGTCATTAAACAGTCTTTGAAAACCTTTCTTTTCTCTCTTTTATTCCAGTTATATGTGTGTGTGTGTGTGTGTGTGTATTTGTTGCTGTTGTTGTTAATCCTTACTCGAGGATATTTTTCCATTGTTTTTTTTTTTTTTAAATAGAGTGGAAGAGAGGGAGGGTGAGAGAGAGAAACATTGATGTGAAAGAGACACATCAAGTGGTTGCCTCCTGCAAGACCCCTACTGGGGCTGGGTATTGAACCTGCAACCCAGGTACATGCCCTTGACTGGAAATCGAACCCGCAACCCTTTGGTCCATGGGCCGATGCTCGAACCACTGAGAAAAATGGCCAGGGCTCTATTCATATTTTCAATTGCAAAATGCACACTAGTAAAAGTCTGAATGAGTTCAGAAAGATAACATAGAAATGAGCATTCCCGCCAGCCGCGGTCTGTGTCCAACCCCTTTCCGGGGGCTGACACCCCTGGCAGCAGGGAGAACACCTCCAAGACCTCTTTACGTGTGTGTCTGTACTCGGCCGCTTGCGGGAGGGCCTGTTCAGCCTGGGAAACATCACCACAGTCACCCTACGCTGGCCATGCAGGGCTGGGACCACAGGTGGGCCTTTGGGCAGTGGCCAGGTAGGGACTTTGACTCTGGGGCTGAAATGCCAAGGCCATTCATAGCATTAATGCAGCCATTGGTTATCGACCTCCTATCATGCGCTGTGTTCAATGCTATACATGCATAACCTCATTTAATTCTCTCATAGCCCTGTACTGCTATGCCCATTTCACAGACAAGTCTGAGGCAGTGGCAGCACCATAATTTACCAACTGCACTCTTTTTTTTTAATCCTCACCCGAGGATATTTTTCCATTTTTTGTACAGATAGAGTGGGAGGGAGAAAGAGGAAGGGAGAGAGAGACAGAAACATCGACATGAAGGGACACATCGAGTGGCTGCCACCCGCACGACCAACCGGGGCCGGGGACAAACTGCAAAGTACATGCCCTTAGCGGGAACTGAACCCGGGTCTCTCCGGACCGCAGGCCGACGCTCTAACCGCTGAGCCAAACCAGCCAGGGCCCAACTGCACTCTTAAAGCATACAATGCCACCTCCTTACTCATGCATCCCCTCACTCCTCCCTCGCCAGACACTGTAGGTCCGCAGCACAGCGGCCCGTGAACATCAGTGCACACCAGCGCATTCAGCTCGGAGGGGTTGGCCCCAGCACCCAGGACAGCGTTTTCAGAACCCAGGCTTGCTCGTGCAAAAGGAAGACGAGCCAGAGAGAAACAGGCGCCCGGCCAATCCCGCTTCTTTGTATAAGCTTCGTGGCAAATGCAAAACGGACCAAGTCAGCAGCTTTGGCTGAAAAGCAACAAATTGACACGTTTTTAAAAATTTTCATTTACATTCTTGGCAAAGCCGTGGGAGAACTGTCATCTATGAGAAGTACTTGGAAATGAAAAAAACATTTCCACTGCAGGGAGAAACTTTAATTTAAAATCAATTGTGAGAAATTAAGGTCATCAAGTGTAATGGAAGCAATAAAATGCAACTTGGCGGGGTGGTTACTTCCCACGCATGTTAAATGCTCTTCCAGCTCAGCTTCTCACGCACTGTGGACTGAGCCACCGGCGCCCACAGCCCCGTTTGAAAAGTGAATCTAAACGCCCCAGTGACCTGCAAGTTTCCCCAACAAGGAAAAGTGAACCCGTCCACAGCTTACATACCCTTGTCTGTGAGACTTTTTCGAATGACTGGAATAGTACGAATATCCAGAATACGTGGATTCGGTATCCATAGCAATGGAGAGCTCGCTCTCGATGAGGCAGTAGGCACTGTTTCTCGGCCGAGGTAGAGGATTTCACCGACTGGGTTCCTAAAACCGCAAGGGTCTGGGAATCAAGGAGCCACTCTTCAACAGCGACAAATTCTGGGGAAAGGGGGAAAAACAGATATCAGCCTTCCAAACCGACCGCAAGGGGCTGGAGGGTAAATGACAGCAGCCCCCTTCTCTGGGGTCTCTGCTGTGGAACAAGTGAGTGACGGTGACGCTTCTGGACGCCGCACGCTGCTCGCAGGCAGCGACAACCTTCCCCAGGTGTCTGGGAGGGAGACAGGTAGGTGACGGACAAGCCAAACCCCAGCCACAGCAGCAGGAAAACCGGAGGCAGGTAAGACCTGGCCCGTGGCCATTTCCCAGACACAGCCTGGCCCCCACGGTTTCGGGCTGGGGACAGTGGCTCCCCACAGCCGTAGGCACACGGCCAGCCCCACCGCCAGTTTGCTGGTTACAAAAAACGAGACCCAGCAAAAGTCGCTTTTAAAGGATTTTCTCATAGTTCCCAGAGGCCAATCTAAAAGGAGAGAAAAAAAGTTCTCAGTCTCTTTAATCCAGGAACCCAAATTCCTGAGAATTTATCTTCAAGAACTAATTTCTTTTTTAAAGAAAAATTATTACCGCATTGTCTGTAATAGTAAAAATCTAGGAACAATCTAAATGACCCCCAAAACAGAGGAATAGATCTATCCACCCAAAGAAATATCACATAGCTGTTTAAAATGGTGATTATGGAGAATGAAGATGTTTATGATAGCATGGTAAAATTAAAAAGCAGGCTACAGGACCGTGGAGACACACCAAATCTACATGGCTGTTAAAACCCCGTAAAACCTCGTGGGTAAAGACAAGGATGAAGAGGGACATCAGAAAAAGGGGACAGGTGATTTATGAGTTGCAGGCTTCTCGGTCTTTCCCACATTTTCATTAGATACTGCTTGGCAATAAAAATAAATTAAAAACATTTCCAAGTAATTCCTGAGCCCCACACGCTAACTTCCAGAAAACTGCAGGTCAGAACGCAATGCCCCTCCCTGCACCCATCACCCCGGAGCTGGTCTCCGCCCAACAGGGCGCATCCCTTCAGGGCCCCTGGAGGCTGCCACAGAGCCAGCGAGAGAAGTGTGAAGAGAAAACAAAGGGCTGGGGCAGCGCCAGGCTCCCCACCCCAGCCACCACCTGCAGATCTGGGGGGGATCACCTGAGAGCCCCCACCCTCGAAGAGTGATTCCTCTCGCTGTCTGTGGCCCAGGGCTAGCCTCCCTGGTCCTGGATGTTGTGACTCATCACTTCATTTGTCCTCTGCCACCAAGGGCCCCAGGGGAGAAGAGGGAGACATGGGTTCTAGTCGGAGCTCTTCCCTGTCTGGTGCAGCCCGGGATTTGCCCCTGGCCGTGACAGTGTTTCGTCATTTGTCCAATCCTCCAGCCACCATCTTCACAGGGTTGATCTGAAGATATAAGCAGATGCCGCACCCTGAGCTGGGTTCCAGTCCCAGGTTTAACTGGCTTATTAGCTGTGTGACCTCAAGCGCAATACTAAGCCTCTCGGAACCTGCATCCATCAAAGGGGTACCAGGGGGCTGTGGAGAATGAAAGAAGCTACAAGAGGGAAGGCTCCCAGCAGTGGCTCCAAATACTGGATAAATGGAAGTCCCGGTTCCCAGCACCCCCTCTGGTTCCGCACCCGGATGTCCTCTGCCTTCCTCAGGAAAAGGAAAGCTCTCGGAAAGGAACAGGCAGAGCGGTGCCCACGCCGTCCTCCCGCCTGGAGGCTCACCTGTGGCTCACCCTAGTCAGATGGCACCGAGCTGGCATCGCAGCCCACCACTTGCTAACGAGGTGTTACCTGAGCAGGGCAGGTTCCCCGGGGAGCCTCAGGTCTCCTCATCCCTTAAATAGAATGAAGGCAGCCTATTTTCTGGGGTCACTGTGAGTGTGGAAACAAATGTCATAGGCATTTTGAAATTTTTGGTTTTGCTCTTGGACCTACCCCCACTCTTCCTGGAAGACGTCATGCGCCCTCTCATCTTTTTCCTCCCTCCTCCACCTCCCACCGTTTTCACCAGCCATTTCAGTGACCTTTCAGCACCGTAGATTCTCACTCTCCTTCTGCTCGGGCTTTGCTGCTTCTGGCCTGGCAGACACCGACGCGGGGAGGTGAGCCACGCTCCGCAGGCCTGCCCTGAACCAGCCTCTCTCCCGGAAGGCCTGCTGTCCGCTGACCCACAGGTTCTACCCGCCGCTTCGCCCAGAACCCCAACTCCTCCTCTACATTCGGAATTCACCATCCACAACTCCTACACTTTCTCTGCTTTCCAAACCAGAATTCCTGACTGCCCTTTCCAGCCCAACTTCTAGCTAATCCTAGCTAACTGCTGCTGGGAGTGGGGCTCTAGAGGTGGGCGGCCCAGGTCCCGCAGGCCTGGCTGATCCCTGGCATGCTTCCTGGTCGTGACACGGGGAGGGATGCTCACCTCTCTGGGCTCCTGTTTCTCCCCTGTACAATGAGGCCATTTCATGCGATCACTTCCGAGGGCGGTTGTGAGCATTCATCCAGACTCCCTGCGTAACGCCTCTGGCACCTGGGAACCAAGTTTCACTCCTCTCCCTCCTCTGCCAGCGGTCGTCATTCTTCATCCTCATTAAAAATTCTGGCCACCCATTAAGGCAACTCCAGGCATGTCCCTCAAAGGCAATCATGGGCTGCTCCCTTTGGGAAAGGCTTTACCTGAGCCTACCAGCCGCCCTTGCCCAGCTTCGCTCCCACAATCCCACCTGTATTCACCAAAGGGGTGGTCTGTGGATGCTGCCCCTCGATCGCCACCCCAATCCTCCACCCTGAGACAGCTCTTAGCTGGCCAGCGATTGCTATGAGCCTCGTCCACAGGTCACATGCTCGTCCTCCTTCCCCAGATCTTACCCCATCTATTCATTCATCCACCACCATACTCAGTAAGCAGCTAGAAAGCCCTGCCAGCAAGGCAGTGGCACAGCGAGGCCAACGCACATGGCACACTGTCACCGTCAGTGTGACACTACTCACACGCCCTCCTGTCTCCCTATCACACTATCCCTTAAAACTCAAACTCGCCCATTATTCTCCACCCGTGGGCTGACTCTAATACAGGATCCTGAGAAAGAGCAACTGTTCACCAACAGGATACTCTGAACAGAGGTGCCCAACAAGCACCAAAGGGATATGCTCCGGCGCAGTTCCCACTCAGATGCTCTGCTCCATTCGGGGTTCGCACCGGTCACCCTGCCACTGCGCTCCACTCTAGTCTGCTCTTTCCAGTCTCCTCCCAGGGCCATGCAACCATCCTACCAACCCTATGGCTCCCCCTGTGCCTTTCCATACTCTCTCCCCTCCATGCCACACACGCTACTGCCACGAAGTGCCCTCCGGGGTCCCCCCTCCCTCGCCGGGTCCTCCCCGCCCGCTTCCTCCAGGGCTAACCTATTTGAAGCCTAGAGGTTTCCTCGCCGAATCCAGGCTTTACAGAGCACAGGCCCCTTCTTCTACATTATACAATTTCTATCATCACTACGAACTCTTGTCCAAGACCTAAGGGCTTTGGAAGCAATGACAGGCAGCCAAGTGACAAAAATCCAAAGTGAACTCATGTTAAAATCCAATGTAAGAGCTTCAATATGCAGGGGACACATTCCAAGACCCCCAGCGCAGGCCTGAGCCGGCAGACGGCGCCGAGCCCTATGCATACTTTGTTTTGGCTATCCATACATACCTGTGGGAAAGTTTAATGTATAAATTAGGCACAGTAAGAGACTAACGACAATAACTAGTAATTAAAAGAACACTATAACAATATATTGTAATAAAAGTGAACGTGGCCTCTCTCTCAAAATACCACACTGTGCCCTACTCCCACTCCGTGTGATGCTGCGGATGACAGCACCCATGTGGCGAGATGAAGTGAGGTGAACCAGACGCCACTGAGTAAAACAGCGGTCACTGGGACACAAGCACCGCGACACCGCCACAGGCGATCCGACAGCCAATCTGACCACGGAGTGACTAACGGGCGGGCAGCAGCCAAGCCAGGTACGCTGGACAGCAGAACTCGCTTCTGGGGGATGGAGTGCGATTCCGCCACGCGACTCGGAATGGCGTGCAACTGAAAACTTATGAATGGTTTATTTCTGAAACGTTCCACTTCATATGTTCGGACAGTGGTTGACCATGGGTAACAGAAACCGCGGAAAGCAAAACCAGGGGTAAGAAGGGGCTATGCAGTCAACAGAAAAGCACGTCCTGAAGCTTATCACTGCAATGACAATATTTACAAGCTAGTTTCCTTATATGCACAAGACATGAGCAGAACTCAGATAAGGTCAGAGGGCCGCCTCATCAGGAAGATGATAAGTACTGGAAAGGAACCAGATTCCCAGGGAGATAAGTGATGGGCTGCATGGGACAGAGTCAGTACAGCTGCTAATCTGGATCCTGGGATCTGGAACTGTCCTTCTGCTACTGACCCAGCAGCCAAATCACGAGGTGGATGTCACTTCCCTACTTAAACCCCTTCCGGTCTAGATGGGCCCTTTCACAGCCTGTACTTTTGCTTTACATCACAATGTCCAGTTCTCCCTCTGAGTGGTTACCTGATGTCTGGCTCCTGGGTGGACAGGAAGCTCCATGGGGGCAGCGACCGCTGCCGTTACTGCCTCTCCAGCTCCTAGGACCTAACAGGCCCTCAATGTGTGCTGAAGGAAGGGTTTCTGTGGCCATCCACAGGACGTGGAGGCCACGCATCCACTGTGCAAGACACCTGAGAGGCCGTCTAGCTTAAATCCTCAGCTTTATACAAGAGGACAAAGGTGCAGGCGTGGGATTCAGCAGTGATGACAACCACCACACACCTGTCTCACTCAGAGGCACCACGTCTATTTCAGACACCCCCTGGCCAGCTGCCTCCCCTGCCCTCTGGCATCATCACCCCGGAGCTACAGGCACTGCAGGAGGCAGACCCAGGACAGGGCTGCAGCGCATCACACCACATCTCACGAAGGCCGGCAGGGCAGCGTTGACACGGGTACTCAGGGCACTTCTGAGTGGCAGCATCTGCAATT